GAACTTCTGCGGGCTCGGACATTCAGGCGATTGCACAAGTCCTGATGCAAGAAAAGGTTTAGGGTTTAGGGTTTAGAGTTTAGGGCTTAGGGTTTAGGGTTTAGGGTATATAGAAGTAGGGAGGCCACATGGGTGGTTCTCTAAATTGGGGGTCCCTTTTAGGGTCCTTTTTATAAGGGTGCCGGATTATGTTGGGTATCTTAAAAGGGGGCCCGAATTTAGAGAACTACCCACATCACGATGCGTGGGTTTCCCGATCTTGGGAGAAGACCTATGCAAGCATCCTGGTATCTCGGCGTGCGTGATGTGGCTGCTGCAGCTCAGCCATGCCGCGCACCTGCTGCTGCCATCGGATCGAAAGTGCTACGTCTCAGCTGGGCGTCTGGGAAAAGTTACCATCAGACCTCAGACACCTCAAGCCGTTATATAGGGTATTGGTAATGCTGCTCCTTGATAGCCGCTATGTTCCCCAAACTGTGCAGTAGACTCTTGTTCTACGGGTAAAGAGACTTGATTGAGGTTCCCATGCGGCGGGCATGAAACAAGGGCTGTTGGAAACGCTTTAGGGTTTAGAGTTTAGGGGTTATGGGGTTTAGGGTTTATATAGGGTTTAGGGCTCCGGTCATCCTTTATTTACAGCATGCTGCAAATCTGGTCCCCGTGTCCTATTCTTTACGCAGGATGCTTGCGCAGCTCGTCGGAAGTCTCTTGGTGGTCCCCTTGTGCCGTGGTAGTCTCTGGGTGGTATGTTGTTGTTCCTGGCCTCCTGGTAGTCTCTCGATGGCTTTTCTGGTGGTTTGCTCGTGCAAGCAAGTAGTGGTCTCCTCTTAGTCTCTCGATTCTTAGGTGTCTCCTGGTGGTCTCTTGATGGCTCCTGGTGTCGTGGTGGTCTCGCGTTGCCCTATTGATGTTTTCTTCGTGGTCTACTGGTGGTCTCCCCTGAAAGCTGCTCGTGTTTTCAAGTACCGATACAGCACGCGGAATGTTTTCTTTTGTCCAAGGCTGCTGGATACAAAGGCGGTTGGCGCCTCCAAACAGCTGTTTTCGAGAAAAGGTATAGTACGTAGACTGCTTCTCGAAGGCTTTCACTCTTTGGGGATCTCCGCTGGCACAAGAGTTGTCAAACACCCTTTTGTAGTTATCAAGACTCCTATATCAAGCCTATTATCTGATTTAGGCTGCCTACCTTGCACGGGATTTACGGAGGGTTTAGGGTTTAGGGTTTGAGACTTGGTCATTGAAAACCATCCTCCCATTGAGCACCCGAAGCCGTTTGCACTGGAGCCATCCCTTCAAGTTCTAGTCGCTCCCCCTAAGACTTCACAACCCCTTGACCAAGGAATATGCCCGAGTTTGTAGAGGGCAGCGTTCGTTTTTTGCACCTTCGCAATTTAAGGGTTTTGGATTCTCTGGGCGTAGAGAGACCGTGAAACATTCCTCCCAGTACACCGCATAGATGCCCTTACCGGTCGAACTGCAAGCATTGTAGGGTTTGGGGTTTGGGCTCTAGGGGTTTAGGGCTTTGGGTTTAG